ACACTCACCACACACCAGCTCTCAGTGGGGAGGAGAGCAGAGTAACGTAGCCAGTTCATAGAGGGGGATTATTAGGAGGCCATGAGTACATGAGCACATTTAAATGTACTCTTTGGTGCGCTCCGTTCTTCTCGGCTGAACGTGTAATTGTCTTAGTTTTGTTGCTCATCCCGACTGGGGTGCTGCCTGTTACCACCAATAATAAATCAATTAGTTCCGAAATGCACACAAACACAACCATCCCGTTATTATTGATTCACGGTTTCCGCCAAACATCCGCTAATGGCCCTTTCCTTCAGTCAGCCGCTCACCGCATACTAATTCATCCGTGCCATATTAGAAAATAGGTCATGTTTAATATGTAGAATAATGCAGATCGGGGGGGGCACAAAATTAAAAGCCCTAGTGGTGAGTATCCTGCCATTTAAAATAATGCAATCCAGGAAGCTATAATTTCCTGTAATGCAAGATTCAATACAGAATGTGGAAAATCTCTGCTTCACTCACTCACTGAAGAAGAAAAGGACAAAAACCCTGCCAGCCTACGAGACACAGAGCGTCTTTCCCTGTACAAGCTCAACGCCTTTCATCATCCAGTAGTGTTCAATTAGGTGGGAAGGCAGATCCTCTCTCTCTTCCCTGGGTGTGCCACCGGTTTGCATGCCACTGCGTTTCTGTCCACGTTGAAGTCATAGATATACATTAGCCCATCTTGTCTTGAACCCCAAGTCTGAGCCCAGTCCTCACCTCATCCAACCCTTAACCCTATACCCCTCCATTCCTCTTCACTCTAACCATACATCTAGAGTGCCTGGTTAACAGTGGTAGGGGCTGTGGGGAGGGGAGAGCACGTGGGAGAAAACCACTACTGGACAGAATGTGAATCTCGTTCGGCTGTGGAGAGACGGCCCGTGGCCCTCATCCATTACAACTCATCCTGGAGGCAGCCCAGCAAATCAAACTGGGAAGTCGAATGATAATACACGTGCGCTGTATTGCACAGGGCAGTCTGCAACCAAGAGGTATATTTCCTGGGTCTCATCTGGGCAGGGGTACATGGGGCAAAGTGGGGTACCTGGAAAGCGTTCTGCTCGGTGCTAAATGGAATATATACTGGAGCTTGTGTGTGTGGGGCTATAGAAGGTGACAAGTGGATTGCATGACAGTGTTCCTGAAGGGAACCCGTATTTTACAACAGAGCAAACTAAAAAAAGAATAATAGGGTCGGTCTGTGGTCTGTCGAGAGGCAATTGAGTTAGCATGGCTTTGCCAAGTCAGCAAAGGCACCTTACTCACGTGTTCATCATGTGAACTGCCCTGTACTGGCACTGTGGCACACACTGTCTGCGAAATACCCTACGGGTTTGAACTTGTACGCAGTGCAGAGGAGGGACCGCACACCCTTCGCTCCTTCCTCAGCCCTGGAGCATGTGAGAGCATATCGGAGTGTTTGAGAGATCGCTGGAGTACTGCAAGAGCCACACTGACAGAGGTCCATGTCGAAACTGTGTAGGTGAAAGATGAGAGGTTTTGACAAAGAAAAAAAAAAGTTCTCCCCTTGCCTTGAATTCCCCAGATGGGAGACAAACTGGAGTCTTCAGTCACGGAAGGAAGGGGAAGGAGAGGTTTCGAAATAGCTTGACAAGACACCTGAGTTTCAGGGGTACCTTTATGGATAACACAGAAGGTGATTTGGCACCAACTGTTGTTTTCTGTTGGGGAGGAAGGCTTTCATCCTCTCCAAAAATAACTTTTGGAGAGTTTAATTCCAAACCAATTCCCAATTCCTTAATTAACCCAATCGTCATCTTTAGGCATCTAGATCTTCAGCTGCCCACTGAAGATGTATTTAGAGGCTGGGGGACTTGAGACTCTACAGCATCAGAGCTGGAGATCATTCTTACAACTGACTGGCTGCAATTTTGGCCCTGGGCTGATGTTATAATGTCTGTCTAAATACGAAGGTTACTTCTCTTCAGTCGGTGAAACTATTTCGGAGATCCACCAGGAGCTGTTTGTTCAACAGGCTGTGTGTGTTGCCGTCAGACACAGCAGGCACCTTCAGAGCTGAGTGTTTTTTGTCTTCTTTGACAAAAGACATAGTTATGATTGGTGTTTTATTAATGTCTAACACCAGCCGGCTTAATTCTACACTTGTACAGTCTGAGCTCCCTACAGCTCCCCCTTAATCTTCCTGGAGAATACGTTTCTCTCTCCTCCCCTGATCTGCTGTGCAGTGGGGCTGCTCTATCACTCATTTGGGGCTCCACTTCAATACTGGGTGAACTGAGTCTCCTCCTGTATGTAAAGACTTTTCTGGGACCCTTTGCAAGGTGGGGCACTATAAAATCACAGGGATTTGTGTTTCCGAGGTCCTTCAAACTACACCGATGAACGTGGATCTTAACTTGTCATGATAAAGCTGATTTGGAGCTCTACAGGTTCTGAGGTCTCTAAAAGAAGGGATTTTAATCCCTGGTGTGCAGGGTTCTGCAGACCTTCTGCATCTTCTTCAGCATTAAACAGTTCTTCATCTGGCACAAATGTTCGAAAGACCCAATTAAGTTGTATATCCCTGGTTCGATTTACAGGGACCCAGAGCCTGCAGTCTGGAGATGGGGACGTTTTTTACAGAAATGTACAAATACAGCCGGATTGTGGTCCCTACAATCCCCACCCTCCCCCGTCCATACCAAACCAGGGTCATTTGAAAGAGACCCTTCCAGTCCGCTCCTGTGAGCTCCAACCAGTTTCTTAATTGTTTAATTGACAACCGGCAGGACCAGTCTCAAGTATTCCAGGTGCTTGATCCCATGAAGTTCTGGGATGGAGCAGGCTGGAGGTGTTGGCATGGGGACATCCCCATGGACTTCCACCTGATGTGCGTGTTACAGAACACTTTCCATTCACGCTGTAACTGCTTCACTCTGCTATAATGCAGGGTCGCGGGGGGGGGGGCGGGGGCGGAGCCTACCCCAGCATGCAATGGGAACAAGAAGAGGTACACCCATGGATGGGATGCCAGTCCATTGCAAGGCACACACACAGAAACATACCAGGGCCCGTTTTCCCAGAATCCAGTTAACTAGCCAGCCTATATGTGGACTGGGAGGAAACCCATTTCAAAAAACCCCGAGAAACATACAAACTCCACACAGACAGCACCCCAGGAATTGGGCCCATGACCCCAGCGCTGCAAGGCAGCCATGCTGACCACTGTGACACCCTGTCACCAGCTAAAGAACGCCCCCCGAGAAGAAAATGAGAAAATTCAGAAAAATGCCATTTTAAAGTGGAGATTTTCCGGGGATTTAGGATATTAAGATCCCAAGGGATTCCGGTGCCTCACTCAGGACTGCAGGTCCTGCTCCTTGGCTATGGTGTCTCACTCATTTCCTGTGTCGGAGCCCTCAGCTGGGACCGTCAGGCGGCAACATTCTCAGCGCCCTTCAAATTAAATGATATATTTTACAGCTTTCGCGGAGAAAATGTGGATTTTCCACGCAGCTCTTCAACTTTGGCCCACCATGATCCCGTCCCCTGGGGCACCAGCGCTCTCCGCCAGTAATGTTACTTTTCCGAGCAGAAAACATCATCCGCCGGCGAGACGCCGCAGCTGAGAACGTTTCCTCGTGTTTATATCGCGCATCATGTCTGGGAAAGTATTACAGCAACGAACATGAAAAATGACTGGCGTGCGTTCTCACCCCAGGCGTTAATTGCCAAATTAACTTTCTCCTCTCTGACTTATTAGCACGAAGGCGGATTCCCCCCAAAGTATTATTTAAACGATTAACCAGACAGCGCGAAAGGATGAAATAAAAGATAAAGGCCAAAATCACGTCCATCCGCATCCCAACCAAGTCAACACGGACGGATTTCATATTTTTGTAACCAGTCTTTCTTATTCTTAGTTGTGTGACGCGACGTTTATTTGCACCGCGTCCAGACGAACAGATTAAAAGCAGGAAAAGGCAGGAAAAGTCGCTGTTTATCCCATGCTTTTCGATTTCAGGATAATAAGGTGGTTTTGAAACACTCGATTATAATATTTTATTATTATTATTATTATTATTATTATTATTATTATTATTATTATCAGTATTA